AAGAAGGATAGGTCACTTCAGATGTATCATCCACAAACAAATCTCTCACATGAGGAGTACAAAAGCCTGTCTTGAAATCACTTTCACAGAGCTGGCCCTATGAAGGAGCTTCAGAGTTATTGTTCCAAAACTGAACCTGATCAATGCAGATAAATGTTCCAAAAGCCATGGTCACTTTGAATATATGTTTTCAACAAGGCTTTAAGTATTCTTTGTTTCCTCTCCAGTTCAGATGATTCTGATGAATATATTGATGTGCATGGAATTGTGTGATTAGGTGAAATAAACTGAGATTTCTTATCTCATGTGATACTTGTCATTTTTGGACACAGATACAGCTCTTCAGATTTCAGTCTCCAGAAGCACCATAGATGTTTGTAATACTTTCAAAGGGAAATCTTTGTCTTACTTTGAACTGGTTAATAATGACTTTGATTGATTTCAAATTTCACTCATCTTCTTACAAATATTTCTGAAAGTTTGTTTGTTTGTTTGTCCTGAAAGATCTCCAAAATGGTAAGAGCTAGAAACACCAAATTTGCACAGATACTACTGATTTCCTAGCTTAAATAACTGGATTGGTTATATCTCGAAATCAGTTCCCCCAATTCCCCCAGAGCCCCAATTGGGCCCACTGATAATTAGCTTTTAGTAGCGCCTGATCATAGGCATTTGCTGGACTCTTCTGTTAAGCATGTCACATAAACTGCAACTATGAGATCCTAGAGGATAAAGCATGTGGGCACCTGCAGCACCATCAAGGGAAGGCCCATGGGGGAGAGGCTGCAGTGGGGGCAGAGAATCAGCAGCCTTCTCTGTACTAGGGCACCAGCAGGTCTCCAGGACAGACACAAATGTGGCTGATGCTGGCGGGGGTCTAGATTTGCTAATTGTGGCTAGGAGAAGCCTCCAGCTATCACAGTGTTTCAACATCGTTATGCAGCTGAGCTCCGACTGAACCCCTTCTGGAAATTAAAGTTGCTTCCCTCCCCCCACAGCCAAATGAGCCATCCCACCACTCACCCTCCTTTGGGCTGCGTGCGTTTTCCTGGCAGGGCTGTGTGCATTATCCACAAGTGACACGGGCACTATGCACTTTGCAGGATTCAGCTCACAGTACAAAGAGTAGGTGGGCAGGAGGACAAGGTTTTGAGCACCATAGAGCCTGAGGAGGACACAGTACACTCAGAACACCCTGTTCTCATTAGAACAGGTACGTTCAGGTGCTGAATGTTCTGATCATCTAGGGTACGTCTACACTACAGCGCTAATTCGAACTAACTTAGTTCAAATTAGTTAATTCGAACTAAGCTAATTCGAACTAACGCATCTAGAACTAAAAACTAGTTCGAATTAGCGTTTTTCTAATTCGAACTAGCGCGTCCACATTAAGTGGACCCTGAACCAGGCTTAAGGATGGCCGGAAGCAGTGCCGGCAAGGCATCAGAGGAGGACTTAGAGTGTGGAGATGCTGTCTCAGGCTAGCCGAGGGCTGTGCTTAAAGGGTCCCGACCCTCACCCCGAACAGACAGTTCTCAGGGTGCCCCGCTTGCAAAGCAGTCCTGGCTTGGATTGCCCGGAGTACCCACACTGGGCACATCACAGCACTTGGCCATCAGACCGGCTGCACTTGCCGCAGGCTGCCATCTGGGGAGAGGGGGCAATTGGGGGGCTGCAGGAGAGCTTCCCCCCCCAGAAGCCCGCAGAGCCAGTCCAGTCCTCCCCATCGGGGGCGCGTACCCCATTCCTCCCTCACCTACTTCCACTTACCCTTCCCTAGCCCCTCTTCTTGATGTACAAAATAAAGGATAATTGTGTTAAAAAAATGGAATCTGTCTTTATTGAACAAAACTGGGGGAGACTGGGAAAAGGAGGTGGGAGAGGGGAAGAGAGAGGGTGGGAGAGGGGAGAGCAACTAAAATGATCAGGGGTTGGGAACAGGTCCCATATGAAGAGAGGCTAAAGAGACTGGGACTTTTCAGCTTAGAAAAGAGGAGACAGAGGGGGGACAAGATAGAGGTCTCTAAAAGCAGGAGTTGGGTGGAGAGGGTGCATACAGAAAAGTTCTTCATTAGTTCCCATAAAGAAGGACTAGAGGACACCAAAGGAAAGGAATGGGTAGCAGGCTTCAAACTAGTAACAGAAAGTTGTTCTTCACAAAGCAAAGAGTCAACCTGTGGACCTCCTTGCTGCAGGAGCCTGTGAAGGCTAGAACTAGAACAGAGTTTAAAGGGACGTGAGATCAAGTCATGGAGGTTGGGTCCATGGAGTGGTATTAGCCAGGGGGTAGGAGTGGTGTCCCTGCCCAAGGTTTGTGGAAGGCTGGAGAGGGATGGCATGAGACAAATGGCTTGGTCACTGTCTTCGGTCCATCCCCTCCAGGGTCCCTAGGGTTGGCCACTGTCGGCAGACAGGCTACTGGGCTAGATGGACCTTTGCTCTGACCCAGGACGGCCATTGTAAGCTCATTGTAAGTGTAGACATACCCCTAGAGATCACTAATTGCATATGGTCTGAAGGTGTTTCACTTTGATCAAATCAACTGGTCCAGCTGCCACTGGGAAGTACATTCAGGTTGCCCCATGGAACATGCACTGAAGGCACTCAGGGAGTGGCTACTTGGGGAGCAGTCATTTGCTGCTGCTGCAGAGCCCAAGAGACATCCTCTCCATTTCTCAGGGCTTCTGGCGAGGAGGCTGCAGGCATTGGTTTGCATAGAGTCTTTAAGGGAAGATTGGCCTTCCTGATTTGTGGTATTTGTCGTTTTGTGAGCACATCACTAGCTATGCTAATTTCTTAAAGTATTTCCAATAAAATATGCTATCTTAATGTTATTGACGTAGTTCATTCATCACATCTTTTACTATATTTTCCCTGGGCGATGCGGGGAATTTCTGTTAGTATTAAATATAAAGGCTCCTCCAGACCTCGGACTAATATATTCAGAAGTTCGTCTTCCATGTTAACGAAAATGAGACTTGTTGTCAGAAGTCAGCTGTAACAACTTGCTAAGCAGGAGCAAAAGCAAATCTACTGTGTGACTAACACAATATATAGAAGAAGCCAATGTACTTCTTCCACTCTTGTCTTCTCTTCTGCTTGAGAGATGTTGTATCTCTCAAGCAAAAACCTCCTGCCTGTGTCATTGTTAACCCCAGTGCTCTCCTTTGATATTTCAGGGTGTGTCCAGTTCAGTTTATTACAAAAATTGTAGAACTCTTGATGGTATCAGCCTTAAGTGTCTTTTGTTGTATGCTGTACTCTTGGGGCTGCCATGTTGGGCGTTTCTTTTATTATGCAGTTACATGACAAATAAGGTACTCTCATCACTAGAGGGAGCACTTGTCCTAAAATACAAGAGCTACATATTGTATAGATCTATGCATTTCCTGCTCAAGAATGAATCTGATTATGTTTCCAAAGCAGAATGGAGTGACCTAAATCAGAAATGAAATGACTAGAAAATGGATGAAAGAAGGCAGGGAGAGAAGAGGTATATAGGAAGGAGGCAGAGATGCAGCTTAATGCAGATGGCTCAACTTGGTGACACTCTATACAGCAGTACCATGGGGAGCTGAGGACTGGGGTATGTATGTGTGGTAGCAGCATAGGGAAATGTGAGTTCTAGGGAAACTAAGCAGGGCTAAAGACCGTCAGCAGAGCTTTGAAGCAGCATGACAGGGGCATCAAGATTTTGGAGAGGACTGAGACAGGGAAATTGAGCAAATATGTGGGGGAAGAGGTCTGTGTGTGCTCAAAGTGGGTGGAAGAGGACAGTTGAGGCTGCAAAGGTGGTGTGAGGCTACAGATGCAATCTTCTGTACTAAGACATGGGAAGTTGAAATGGCTACTCAAGGAAAGCTATTTCAAATCTCTGGTACACTGAGACGGTAACATAATATGGGTGTTCTTGATGCACCAGTGCCTCCACTCACTGAAACTCTGTCCACTCCCACTTCATCTCCACTCATCTTCTTTCTCCCACAACACTAACACCCTTCCTCATTTCTCTCATCCCAGAGAATGAGGAGCTCCGAGGTGCAGGAATTGTTAGACATGGAAGTCTAATTTTACCTTCGCTATTTTTGAACATTCAATCTTGACAGCTCAACAAAGTATACTAGCTCATCTATCTATCTATCTATCTATCTAACCTGCATTCTATTGCACCATCCAGAAGAGCAGTATCAGATAAATAAATCACTGTAAATCACTGATCAGATTCACTGTGTGTGCATCTAAAGTCCTGATCTTGAATTCAGTGGCTCCAGGATCAGACCCTGTATACCCACTCATATCTTTCTGGTGAAAATCACTAGTGGGACATGGATGAGCACTTAAAATGTTAATACCTGGTGAACTGGTCAGTATTTCAAGAAATATCATTTATCTTTGCTAATGTCTCATACCATCACTTTATGTTCATTCAACCATACAATATCCTTTTTATAGGAAGTTCTCCATACTCATGTACATATTTTAACTGTGGATAATTTCTCTGTCTCTTATTTCTATTTTGATACCACACTTCCTTAGTGGTAAAACTTCTTAAAACATGATTTTCAATTCAGACTCCTTATATAACAGGAGAAATTATGCATAAACTAAAGTTCATTTCTCCCTTATTGGTAGGGTTTTTTTTTCCTATTGGAAAGAACATTGCTGTGAGTTGGCCCACGGACTAGGGTAGGGGAGAGCGATAAGGCAAGATGAATTTATGAACAACTCTCTTTTCTTCCCTTGGGTATGTTATCTTTTGAAGAGAAGCTCTGTAGAATCAGAGAGTGTGTACCACTTTCTTCCCTTTCACTATTCTCACTCCTCTACCCCCTAACATCTAGCCTCCTCTCTGTTCAAATCTAAGACACAACACCTCATTGGGATCCAGAGATGGGTTGGAAGACAGACATCTTTGCTCTCTTCCAAGAGGGGGAAAGCTACATGTGGAGGTATCTCTCTGATCTTAGCTAATGTATTTATTTTTATACATTTTGAAACAGGTATCGTTCTATCCTGTTTGAAGGAGTTGAGGATGCCTATGCAAAATGATGGTGGTTAAAAGTAAGTTTTAGCTGCCAAATAGTGATGCCTAGTGAATCATTCTACTTAAGCATGTTAAGTCTTTGCCAGTTGCTTTATTCCTTTCACATTTGCAAAGATCTTGTTTCTGTCCTCACAAGTGCAGCTGTTTTCCTGTTGAAGTCTAAAATGGGTAAACGTTGGTACAAACTCATTTGCATCAAAAATACCAAGTTGATCTGAAAGTAATCTAAGAACAAATAGCCAAGGCTTCAGAACATATATTTGGCTATATTCTCTTTTAATGAATATTAAATGAGAGTCCTCATAATTAAGACACCGTTATGGTCCTTGTGTTTTGATGTTAAAACTGTCAGATTTGTATGTTAAGGGTTTGAAGGTATTTTTAGCTATTCATTATTAACTACTAGAAGATAGTTTGCCACAGGTTTTGTACCTCAGGGTTTTATTTAAGGCTCATCATATTGTTAATTAAAGAAAAACCAGTTCCAAATATCCCTAAATGTACTTGAAGATGAATGTGTATCCAATTCATTCTGAAATGAATGTGTATCCAAATTTTATGTCTGGATATTTATCTGGTTGAATCAAATCTGGAATGCTGAATATTCCCAGTTATGAGGTGAGATTGTATCTTGCCCTATTCACCAAGGCAACGGATAATAGCAACATAAGGACATAGTGTAGCTTTAACGTGGAAGGTTAAAGAGAACCATATCTGTGGAGTAGCAAGGGTGTAGAAGTGTGTAATGGTGGAGAATTTCTACAATCTGCACAATGTGCTCACCACCATGGAAGGGTAGCTAACCTTGGTCAGGTAAAAGACAGGAACAGATTGCATCTCTCCCTAGAACAAGTGTCTTGCTCATGGGGATGCACAATATGTGCTATCTCTTCCTCAGAGTTTAAAGTAAAAGCATAACTGTGCCCATAACAAGTGGGAAGAAAGTGTTGAGCAAAATTAGTCCACAAGCAACTCATGTATATTATATGTTTGCACCAAAGTATTCACTGGTTTTTAAAAGAAAATAACATTTATTATGAAGAACCAGTTTGTTTTCAGTTGACTGGAAGACAGGAAAAAACTTTAAATCAGAGCCTTCTGTGGCGTAGGTAGTTGGCTCACCATTAAGATTGATTCTAATACTGAAAATGAACCAAGCTAGTTGTCTGTGCATCTGGTCCCTGGAATAAGACTGTGGTGTAAAGAGAACAACTTTTCTAGGAAGAAACAATATAGTAGGATTGATTATTACTGTCTCTTTTTAGGTATTTTTCCCCACCCTGGATTACCCGAGAAATGAGAATAAATTACCTCACTTCAGAAAGAAAAGAAAAAAGAAATCCTCATCAAGGCTTTTGTGTCACATTAATTTTAAAATATGTTTTGTGAGAAAAGATAAAGTTGGTGATAAATTGACTGTGTTGGGTTGATTTTTACTCTAAATCCACTCTGAAAGGATTGCTATAAGTCTTATTAAAATAGCAAATATTTTAAAATGGTAATGTATGGCCTGTCTCTGCAATGGAAACAAATTATACATTCTAAGTGTAAGGAATAGAATTTTGTGCTATTGCCATTAACAAGTTATTCCAGCAAAGGTGCTTTTGGAGTAATCAGTTATAAAATGCACATTATTTGTATTATGGTAGAGACCTCAGGAGGGATGAGGGCCTCCAATTGGAATGGACAAGTCAGAGATTAAGAGAAAAGATGCATTAGTTTCGCCATTTTACAGATGGGGAATTGAGGGATTAAATGTTGCACAAGGTCACAAATTGGGTCAAACATAGAGGGCCATCCCTACCAATTGCGGTGCCCTACACAACCCAAGAACCTGGGGAGAAGAGGAGATGCACTCAAAGACTGCAAGGCTGGTGGTTCAAGGTCTGTGGTGGGCAGGTTCCAGAGGCTAGAGTTACAGGAGTCAGAAGCAGGGCAGGAGGCTCACCTGATAACAGGAGAGATGATGGGAGGCCCAGGTGGCAGCAAGAATGACTGTTTCTTCTTCCTTTGTGGAAATAGCTGGTGAGCAGCAACCACCCAACCTCTGCATTTTGCAGCCTGGGCGAGAACTGATGGGGGCCGATGTTGACAGCGGGGATTGGGCCTGCCCCAGCACTCATCAGTGGTGGAGGTAAATGGAGAGATCCAGCGCCAGCCTGCTCTGTTCCCCAGCTCCCAGACAAGGACTGGAGGGGTGTGTGGAACCATCCCCCTTCATTCCTTGGCAATGGGAGGGGGAGAAATACAGATGGGAGCTGTGATTACAGGAGCACAGTGGATTGGTGCCAGATTGCTCCATTTCTTGCCACTGATAGTGAGTGTGAGGTGTGGGGGTGACCCCGATGTCAGAGTCAGCCATCCCTTGATGGTCCCCTGGGCAGCATGTCTTGGGAGAGGAGGTGGAATGGGGGCAGGGCAGAGGGTGTCCCAGGCCCCACACAACCCTGCTGAGATCAGGCTGGGGAGGGGAAAGCTAGAGGATGGGGCTGGCAGCTGAAGCCAGAGGTGATGCATATGCCATGTACTGCTGTGTAGGGCCCCATGAAATATGGGACAATGTGGTGCCCCAAATTTCATGGTTCCCTAGGCAGCTGGGTACTTTTCATATTGGTAGGGATGGTACTGCAAGGGGGGTTACACTGTGATATGCCACAACTCATTTTGTAAAGGTGTGGAAGATGTCCAGTATAGGCAATTCATGGTGAAGGAGTATGCTGATTATATAACATGAATCAGTAGAACATTTAAAGGAGATATTTTTTAGTGGAATGGAAATAGGGGAAGTTCAGAATTTCTGTGATGGTACTGCAGAAGGTTGCAACTCTTCAAAGGGGGTGGGGAATTGCTGAGGACTAAGCAGTGGGTTGGTTGAAGATCCAGCTAGGTAAAGAGGAAAGGCTGACTGCTGTGCCTCCTCCCTGGTATATGTAAATTATTGAATTGTCTTCACTATACACTTTATCTGCCAGGTACTCCCTGACATTTAGGAATAAAGTTGTATCCTAAATTAAACCTCATGTTCTGGCATCCACCTTTTTAGAAGGTCTTCTAAGCCTCAACCTAGCCTTTACCACTAGCAGGATCATTTTCAAAGCCGGGAAGAGCTTTCACAGTTGTGATGTGATTATTTCTATGGCTACTAGAAAATTAGTACAGATATTCCCTTTTAAAAAAAAATCATTGCAAGCCAAATTTTGCTAACATGAATATTCATGGAAAATAAATAAAAGAGGTCAGAAATTTTGGAATGAATTTGTGGCTTTTATTCAAATGAACATTCATAATATATTTTTCAGCATTTTCCCAGCTCATCTCATGATTTGAAGTATTCATAAAGAGAGTACCGGATAAAAACAACTCTTTCAGTTTTACAAACAATATTAAGTGTGGAAGACTGAAATTTTCCAGCAGAAATTGCAAATCATTAACCAGGGTTAAATTATGCCATTTACATCAGTAAACACAACTAATCACTCTTGAAATACATAAAACTGAGTTTAGGTTGGCTCCCTGGGAACCTGGACTGATGTCAAACCCATTGTCATCAATTGAAGCCTTTCCATTGAAAGTGGTCCTTTAAATTTTGAATCAGGCTTAAGATGCTGTGTCTTGTGTAATTTTCCTCTCAATTCTGCTGATTTAGTATTTTACATAGAAGATGTGATGATGTCTTTTTCCCCCTTCTGTGCCAGGCACATACCATCTCTTATCCCTAGTATCACACAATTGGTTAAACTTAAGTCCTGTAAAAGTCTCGGGGGGGGGGAGGGAAGGGAGGGATAGCAATGTTAGTCTGTAACTTTATAAAAAAAAGAGAAGTCCTTTTGCACCTTAGAAAATGAACAAATATATGTAAACCTCCCAATTTTTAATAGAAAAAAGAAGGGAGAGAGGGAGGAAAAAATACCTGTCAATTGTAGTGTCTGTGCTAATGAGCCTGAGTGGACAGTCCTGTATGATGTGACCACAACACAAGGCAGAAGGATAAATAACCTCTTAGAAGATGAGAGGGAGAGAGAGAAGAAAAAGAGCATGTTGATGACAGACTAAGAATAATTGCATGAAGAGTACAAAATACTGCGGTGGTAGTATTGAGAGGAGGAAACAAAATGACATCATTTCACAGGAACAAGGGGGTAACTATTTTGGATCTCATGCTGGATAAAGATGAATGGAATTAATAACTGGACTAGAAGCTGGTGGTAGTTTAGGGACTTCCGTATACTCGTGACTTGAGAATGGGCAAACAGACAACAATCCTAATCCTTTACAATTACAGATTCAAGTTTGGGGAAAATTGATTGGCAGGAAGATCTTGGAGAGAAAAATGTGAATGAAAATTTGGAATGAGTTTCAAAAAATTTTAGTTAAAATAATTTCATAGTCAAAAAGAGAACAGCTTTGGCTAAACGCGCATCCTTGTTTAGTCAAAAAGAGACTACAATGAGAAATATAAAAGCATCTATCAAACGGAAAAAGGAGGAGAAAACAAATGATTATAAATTAGAACTTATGAAGTACAGAAAAATTATCAGGAAAGCTAAAGACACTGGGAGGAGCGGGACATTTCATGACCTCAAGGCTCAGGACAATAAGGAGGATATTTCTGAAGTGTAAATATCTCAAGTGTATTGAGATCAAAAGACAACATAGCAAAGATATAGGCCCATTATTAGGCGAAGATAGTAAAATTATTAATGATGCAGGAAAGGCAGAAATATTAAAATATTTCTGTTCTCTACTTGAAAAGGAGCAGGATGATATAATCACTGGAAGAACATTTACTAGAGTTATAAAATATTGTTTTCACATAGAAGGCCTGGATAACTTGATCCTGAGGATCCTAAAAGGAGTCTGGACCAATTATGTTAATTTTTAATAAATTTTGGAATACAAGGAAAATTCCAGGAGGCAGGAAGAGTGGTAATTTTCTTTCAAAGCTCCAAAAAGTTAATCTGGACAACTTAAATACTAAAACAGTTAGCATGACATCATAGAATCATAGAATACTAGGACTGGAAGAGACCTCGAGAGGTCATCAAGTTCAGTCCCCTGCCCTCATGGCAGGACCAGATACTGTCTAGACCATCCCTGAGAGACATTTATCTAACCTACTCTTAAATATCTCCAGAGATGGGGATTCCACAACCTCCCTGGGCAATTTATTCCAGTGTTTGAACCCCCTGACAGTTAGGATCTTTTTCCTAATGTCCAACCTAAACCTCCTTTGCTGCAGTTTAAGCCCATTGCTTCTTGTTCTATCCTCAGAGGTCAAGATGAACAAGTTTTCTCCCTCCTCCTTATGACACCCTTTTAGATAGCTGAAAACTGCTATCATGTCCCCCCTCGATCTTCTCTTTTCTAAACTAAACAAACCCAATTCCTTCAGCCTTCCCTTATAGGTCATGTTCTCTAGACCTTTAATCATTCTTGTTGCTCTTCGTGAGACCCTCTCCAATTTTTCCACATATTTCTTGAAATGCAGTACCCAGAACTGGACACAATACTCCAATTGAGGCCTAACCAGCGCAGAGTAGAGCGAAAGAATGACTTCTCGTGTCTTGCTCACAACACACCTGTTAATACATCCCAGAATCATGTTTGCTTTCTTTGCAACAGCATCACACTGCTGACTCATATTTAACCTGTGGCCCACTATAACCCCTACATCCCTTTCTGCCGTACTCTTTCCAAGACCGTCGCTTCCCATTCTGTATGTGTAAAACTGATTGTTCCTTCCAAAGTGGAGCACTTTGCATTTGTCCTTATTAAACTTCATCCTATTTATCTCAGACCATTTCTCCAATTTGTCCAGGTCATTTTGAATTATGACCCTATTCTCCAGATTAGTCTCAATCCCTCCCATCTTGGTATCATCTGCAAACTTAATAAGCGTACTTTCTACACCAATATCCAAATCGTTGATGAAGATATTGAACAGAGCCGGTCCCAAAACAGACCCCTGCGGAACCCCACTTGT